GAGGAGGGGTAGGGGGAGGGGGAGGGGCCACCCAGCACCTGCGCGGGTGGCACGCCTGGCGTCCGCACCGAGCGGAGCCCGCGCGCGGTTCGCACTGATCGTGGAGCCGCCGCGAGCAGCGCGCTCGGGGCCGCGCCGGGATCCCGGCGGGCCGCCGCGCCAGTGATCCTCCGAGTGTGAGGCCCCGCGTTCAGCGGCCTCGCGGCGCTACGTCGCAGCGCGGAGAGGCGCAATCCGCTCGCGCGCTCCAGTGGGTCGGGCGAAGCATTGCACTAACTGTGCGCCAAGGAACGGTGAAATGACATAAGCATACGAACTCGGAGGTCCGCGCGGATTCCTCGGATCGGCGCCGGAGCCCCCTGGCGGTGCCTCCGGCGCCGCCCTTGTCGCGCTCCGCTCGCCAGGGAGGGGGGTCAGCGCTGATCCAGGAAATCCGCGCGGACCTCTCAGTTTTTGTGTTCATGTCAATGTTTCTTCCCCTATCCCTGGCCTCGCCATGGACTGGGCGGTTTCTGGCCACTTCGGCCCCCGGACCGCCAGAAATCGGCTCGTAATGAAAAGCTGGGCCTCAGGCAGGGGTCCAGACCTCTGGGGAGCCGCGCTGTGAAAAATCACAACGCCAGATGTTGGATCGTCCCCTCCCCCCCTCGCGGGCGATCGGTCGCCCCCCAGCCCGCTGGGGGCTCCGCCCAGCGCCGCTGGAGCCGCCGGCGGAGGTTGCGCGCGGTCGGTGTGCGCAGCGAGGGCGGCGCCCGCGTCGTGGAGCTCTTGGTCAGAGGGGCAGAAACAGCATGCGGAGGACGATGGGGATGCTGCTGTTGCTGTTGCTGTTGCTGTTGCTGTTGCTGTTGATGGTGATGGTGATGGTGATGGTGATGGTGATGGTGATGGTGATGATGATGATGATGATGATGATGATGATGATGATGATGATGATGATGATGATGATGAGATGATGATGATGATGATGATGATGATGATGATGATGATGATGATGATGATGAGGATCCTGATGATGAGGACGATTAATGTAATGATGATGATTGCGATGACGAGGATGATAATAGGGGTGGTAGTGGTGGTGGTGGCGGTGGTGGTGATGTTGAACGTGACCGTGGTGGTGATGATGCGGGTGGTGGTGATGCGGACGATGTAATGACGATGATGATGATGACGATGATGATGCTGATGATGATGGTGTTGATGATGCTGCTGATCATTATGACAATAATGACGACGAGGATGATGATGACGACGATGATGATGATGGTGGTGATGATGAGGATGCGGATGCGGATTGCGACGACGATGCTGCTGCTGCTTATGATGCTGCTGACGATGGTGATGCTGATGAAGCTGATGATGCTCATGATGATGAGGATGCTGCTGCTGATGATAATGATGATGATGATGATGATGATGTTGATGAGGATGGTGATCGTCATGGCGATGGTGATGATTGTGGTGACGATGATGATGCTGCTGCTGGTGATGATGACGGTGATGGTGGTGGCGATGGTGATGGTGGTTGTGATGATGACGACCATGATGCTGTTGACGGAGATGTTGATGATGCTTATGATGATGATGATGATGATGATGATGATGATGATGATGATGATGATGATGATGATGCTGGTTTTGATGATGATGCTGATGATGATGCTGGTGATCATGATGATGATGATGATGATGATGATGATGGTGATGATGATGATGATGATGATCATGATGAGGATCAGGGTAATGATGATTTTAGTGATGCCGATGTTAATGCTGCTGCAGCTGACCATGATGATGAGGATGATGATGAGGATGATGATGATGAAGATGAGGATTAGGATGAGGATGCTGATGCTGGGGATGATGATGATGATGCTGATGGTGATGGTGATAGTGATGGTGAAGATGGTGATGATGATGATGATGATGATGATGATGATGATGATGATGGTGATGGTGATGATGATGATGCTGCTGCTGATGATGATGATGATTATGATGATGATGATGATGATGATGATGATGATGATGATGATGTTTTTTTCTTCTCCTTCTCCATTATTTCTATTATCATTATTCTCATTATTCATGTAAGTTTTCGTGCGGATTATTATAATTATTGTTATGCATATTCTTGTTATTCTCAGTCTTATCATTGCCATCAGTATTCTCAACATTATTATCTTTATTTCTACAACAGAGAATTTGATTATGTTGTTCTTTTCATTATTCTTATGATTGTGATGCTGAGGAGGAAGAGGAGGAGGATGAGGAGGAGAAGATGGAGGAGGAGGAGGATGGCGATGCTGATGATGATGATGATGATGATGATGATGATGATGATGATGATGGTGGTGGTGGTGATGATAGTGATGGTGATTCCCCAATCAGAGCTTGCCTCTGTAGGGGTCCTGGCGGATTCATATGGTTAGGTGAGGCGGGGCGCCGATTTCGGCGGCACGCCCAGGTGCCGGGGTGCCCAGGTGCGCGGGTGCCCGGGTGAGATTCGCCGCCGATTTCCGCGGTGCTTACGTAGGTGCCCGGGTGCCTGGGTGCCTGGATGCCTGGGTGCCCGGGTGCCAAGGTGCCCAGGTGCCCAGGTACCCGGGTACCTTATAGCTCTACAGATAGCCCTATAGCCCCATAGCCCTATAGCCCTATAGCCCTATAGCTCCATAGCCTCACAGCCCTATAGCCCCATAGCCCTGTAGCCCTATAGCCCAATCGCCCTATAGCCCTATAGCCCTGTAGCATTATAGCTCTATAGCCCTATAGCCTTATAGCTTTATAATGGACCTAAAGCCCTATAGCCCTATAGCCCTATAGCTCTACATGCCTATCGCCCGATAGCCCTCTAGCCTTATAGCCCTATAACTCTATGGTCCTATAGCCCTATAGCTTTATAGCCCCATAGTCCTAGAGCCCTAAAAAAGATTATGATTGGGTTTTTCTCCGGTATCATGATGTGGAGAAGGAGTGGGGACGATCGTGATGGGTCGAGGCGGGGTGGGGGGTTGGCGTGGTGCCAGGCCAAGCGCGCCCTCAAGAGCGTCGTTCAGAAGTGCACGCACCTTCCGGCGCTGGAGCCCTTGCTTGAGGCTTGCGCGAGGGGAGGGGGATGAGGGTCAGTATAATGATGATGACGATGACGATGACGATGACGATGACGATGATGATGACGATGATGATGATGATGATGACGATGATGATGATGATGATGATGATGATGTTGATGCTGATGCTGATGCTGATGCTGATGATGCCGCTGCTTGCTGCTCATGATGATGACGACGATGTCGGCGGTGATGCTGATGATGACGACGATGATGCTGATGATGATGATGATGATGATGAGGAGGAGCCTCGGATCGGTACATTTGAGCGGACAAGGTTGGAGGAATTGGAATGCTTCGATCATGGGGAATGTAAGGATGAGCAGGATCATCAGGATGAGTATAATGACGATGATGATGATGACGACGACGGCGGTGCTGATGTGATGATGATGATGATGCTGATGATGATGATGATGACGATGACGATGACGGTGCTGATGCTGATGATGCTGATCATGATACTTATTTTGATTATGATGATGATAGTGCTGATGCTGAGGATGACGATGATGATGCTGATGCTGATGCCGATGACGATGACGATGATGATGATGCTGATGATACTGATGCTGATGATGATACTGTCGGTGCTGGTGCTGTTGATGATGATGATGGTGATGATGATGCTGCTGCTGCTGATGCTTGTGCTGATGATGATGGTGCGGATTGTGATGATGCTGATGTTGGTGCCGATCATGATGATGATGCTGATGATGATGATGATGCTGATGATGCTGCTGCTGATGATGATGCTGACGATGATGATGATGGTGATGATGCTGATAATGATGCTGCTGCTGCTGATGATGAGATGATGATGATGATGATGATGATGATGATGATGATGATGATGATGATGTTGATGATGATGATGTTGATGTTGTTGTTGTTGATGATGATGATGATGCTTCTGATGATGATGGTACTGATGATGATGATAATGATGATGATGATGATGATGATAATGATGATGATGATGATGATGATGATGATGATGATGATGATGATGATGATGATGATGATGATGATGATGATGATGATGATGATGATGATGAGGAGGAGGAGGAGGAGGAGGAGGAGGAGGAGGAGGAGGATGAGGATGAGGATGAGGATGATTAAGACGATTATGCTGATGATAGTGAGGAGGCTCAGCTTTGTGAGCAGTTGCAAGGGACGATTCATGCTTTCTTCGTCGAATGCACCCGGGCCCTCTCATACCACCGTGAGAACCGTTGGACCCTCTTAACACCTCCCGAAGCTTGCTTTCCCCTTCCCCTTCCTCCTCCTCTGCTTGCCAGCGCTGCACCATGTTAGTTTCGCGGAACAGTAACTTGTTTTCCTTCCGAACCGCAGCGGGTGGCGATGCTGAAAGTGTAATGCCACCGCTGTGTCCGAGCAGACCCTGAAGGAACGGGTGCGAGTCGCCGGTGCAACCCTGATGCGGTCCAGGCATGGCGTGCTGATCATTTTCCTGCCCAGGCCGAGCCCAGGCCACCGACGCGATCCAGGTCGCCCTTGCGGTTGCTGATGGGGTCCTGAGTCCGCCTCCTGATCCCGCCTCCACCTCCAGCGCTCATAGGCCTCGGACGGGGGCGGGCTAGGCGTCTTTCGACGGCTGCGTCACAAGCTTTAAGGGTTTCCGAAAGTGGCAACCTGTGAGCGGTGTGAGTGCTTGCTTCCTTTTGCTCCCGAAAACCCAATGTCGTGGCCTCAAGGCGGAGTGTAAGTGGGAGGCACAACTGCGTTCCATCCGCGATGGGCACCTCAGGGTGGTCTCGGCTGCTTCGCGAGGTCAACATCCGAAGACAGGTGCCCAGCTGTAATTTCGTCCATGACGATTCTGTTGGGTTCAGCCGGTTGAGCCTCATCTTGTGGAAGGGTATGTTTCTCAGTCTATCCCTCTCGCTTTCCCCATCCAGTGCGCTGTGCTAGCGTTCTTCGAGTGCACTGCTGCATGCTCGCCCCGACCCTCCTCCCGCCCTCCCTCCTCCCTCCTCTCTCTCCTCCCTCCCTCCCTCCTCGCTGAGCCGCTGTCCAGGTTCGAGGGGCCCTGGGAGTCACTACCAGGTAGTGGCGCGCTCCTCCTCGGGACGGCTGCTAGACGCGCAGCCTCGCCGCAGCCGCCGCCACAGCGCTGCGCCGACGGGGCAGCCGTGCCCACCCGGGCCGCGCGGCCGAGCCGGCCTGGCACCGACGTGCCCTCGCGACGCGCGCGCGAGCGCGGACGCTCGTGCGTCTCCCCGCGGCAGTCCGCTTGCTACGACGGCATCACAGCTTGATGCGCCCGCAGTCTCCATGGGGCAAAAGCGCGAGATCGAGCGCTTCAGGAGCAGGGGCTCCTGCAGGCGCCCCAGCCCCAGCTCAGCACCAGGGAGCACCGCGAGGAGATGGCAGCTGGTGCTGCTCCTGATGTGGCACGTACAACTGGCCGTCTGCGACCATGTGCTCCTGGTGCTTTCCATCACAGCGACCGCAGCCTGCCGCAGCCAAGCGGAAGGCACGGTCCAAGAGCAGGGAGAGTCATCAGCAGAGGCCGCAGCAGGAGACGGCCTCCCCAGCAGAGCAGCCTGCGAGCGTGAGTGGAAGTGCCAAGCCGGTTCGGGTGTGCATCCTACCAGCATTTGCGGAGACCGCGAAGCAGCACGCCAGCTGGGTGGACCTCCCTACCGACCCGCAGGAGTTGACCACTCATCGTTCGACCCTGAAAACTTCACTCAAGGCATATAGAACAGCAGATCATGTGCCAGAAAGCCTTGAGTGTGACGCGCCCGAGATTGGCCCCGTTTAAGCTTGAGTGCGAAATTGTTTTGTATCATGCGCATCTCGGCCCAACTCCCTCGGGAACGGACCAACAGCCAGGTGAAGTACTTGGACCGTGCTCGTTTGCGCCTGCAGACGGCGATAGACACAGAGCAGGAGGCGAAGGCGGCATTGGCTCAGGCCACCACCGCCAGAGCCGCCCTCGAGAAGGACGTGACGCAGTCCCGAGGAGCTGCCAGACACCTTCAAGACACTCCAGGCACAGGCGGAGGCGGAAGAGGCAAGACTGGCTGCCCAGAAGCGCTCGGTCCATTTCGGCGACTCCGCGGAGGGCACGAGGATGGACACCGCCCCCTCTGCTCCAACGGTGGTCCCGTCACCATTCGCACCGCCCGGCACCTTCGGCCAGCAGATGGTGCATCCGTCACCTTTCTCACCCTCACTTGTGGCGCCAGCGGCGGCCCCCGTGGCAGTGGCAGCGCCAACGCCGAAGCAGCAGAGCGTGACGCCGCTCGTCATCCAGCAGCTGCAGCAAAACCAGGTGGAATTGACGACTCAAATCACAGCGCTGTCAGCCGATTTCGCAGGCCTCCAGACGACACTACAGACCGTCGCGGCCGTGCTCAAGAGCGCACAGCCAGCTGGGGGCGAGGTAGAGATCGCAGCGGTCCCAACAGCAGCAGCAGCGGCGGCAGCAGCAGCAGTCAAGGGAGCCCACCCGAAGAAGGCTCAGCCTGGGATGCCCAGGGCCTTCGCGGATCCGTCATCCTCCGGACAGCAGGCCCTGGCATTTGCTGCGCAGACCGCGGAAGAGGCGGTGCGGAAGCCAGTGAGCGAAGGAGAAGATGGCCTGCCGCAGATCACGCAGGAGGAGCGCCTGGCCGCAATCTCCATGGGAGTGCTTGCGCCGACGCAGCCAGCGGCAACCACCGACGGCGGCGTGAAGCAGGAGACAGGCGAGGAGGCCGACGGCGCCCCCGCGCACACGTTGGTCACGCCGCCATGCGAGAACAACGAGGACATCGGCAGCCAGCCAGTTTTTCACAAGCCGAGGGAGCAACAGTGATGTACCAGCCCGAGTTGCTCAACATCGATGGCATGCAAGACATTGCCCCTTCGGGATGTGCTACACCAGAAGAGCCCTGGGGGGAAAACACATGCCTTCGTCAGGGGTTGCGCTTGTTCTCCCCTCCCCAGCTCTCGCGTCCTGCATGCTCTTCGGAGGCAGCGGGGGGTGTAGCTAGCGCGAGACTTAATGCCTCCGTCGCAATACTTCCACTCCTCCACTCTCAAGGCCCTCCATGGACTCGTCGCCCTCGAGGAGCTAGGTGCTTGGAAGGCTGCGCATATTTGTGCTGATGGGTCAGGTGGTGGCGGTCCGTTTCCTGCTGGGGCCCCAGTTCCTGCTGATGTTCCTCGCTCAGGGCCCCCAAGCAGGGCCTTCGTGGTCATCATCACGCAGGCCCTGTTTGGCTATGCCGCGCAGTGCTTCGACCCGGGGGATATCTCCAAATGCTGGGTTTCGTTTCTGGCAGAGATGAATGCTCCTCAATGGGCCATGGCTTGGGCACTCCAATCTGGGCTTCTGGGCTCCCTTGAGGTCACGCTTGCCGGGGGCAGCCAGGGCGCTCTGGATTTCATGAGCAACAGGGCCATTTACGGGCCTCTGGAGGATCGTCGTCGGGTTCTCAGTGGGCTATCGTCGGAATGCGTAGTTCAGGCGAAATCCTTCGGACGCGCAGCGATGCCATGGAATGAATCTGCGGACGCCCTGTGCAGATTGGCGTCGATCAGGACCGATGCCAGCGGCGTAGCTCTGCCAGATAACTGGCAGCATGCTGCATGCGCGGACACATGCAGCCTCGCCTGGGCCTGGTTGGAGCAGGTGCCTGACCGCGACAATAGCTTTCGCGCTCAATGCCCGCCGGCGCCAGGTATTATGATGCCACAGTCGCGGCCTGCCGCTTTCGGACTTGCCGAATTACAGCCGCTGGAAGTACGGCGCCAGACGGGACCAAGTGGGACTGAGTACTGCTCAACGAGGGATGCAGCCACTCGGTCTCTCCGCATGGTTTCGGCCAACGCGCTGACCTTCGATCCTCGGCCCGTCCGCGGCCGCGATGTTCAAGAAGGGGTCGATTTTCCTGGCTGGCACCTGTGAAGCTCGGTATCCAAGGGACGGCCTCGCGAATGTCGGGAACATCCATGTTTTGCATGCGGGGGCGGATGCACCTCGTTGGTTCGGCTGTTCTCTTTGGACCAATCTTCGCACTGCATGCGCTGTGGACAGAGACTCATGGCAATTCGATGCAGGGTCTTGCGTGCCAGCCCTCGTTTGCAGATCGTCGCGATCCGCGCGGTGTCTCTCCGGCGCAGCGTTGCGGTAGGGCACGGCCCGCGCGTGTGTGTGAAGACCGCTCGTATCGCCTTTCTGTCCATGTATCCTGCTATCCAGGCATTGGACATCTTGCGCGTCCCTGTGCACGCGGGCGCATGGACAAAAGAGGCTCCTCATTTCTCCCTGTCGTTCTCTACCCGCGGACCGCGCGGTGGGCTCGACTTATTGGTCGTTGACCTCCGTTCGCAGGTTGTCGGCTTCTTCCATGGCGCTTTCCGTTGCGACTCCCCGCGCCGCGTTGAAGTCTCGCGCGTGGCGGCGGACCCCGCGGGGGCCAGTGCCTCTATGCGCGGCGGTTCTTCGATGGTGCGCGGGCGTCGCGACGACGCGGAAAAGGCCGCGGGGCAGGAGGCGATGCCGCAACCCCCCCTACCAGGAGAGGGCAGCGCCAATGCGCGCCTCGAAGCCGCGCTTCGACGCGCGCGGAAGGTCGACGTGGACCCTTTCCAGTCTTCCGAGCCGGCGCAATCCTGGGCCCAGCATTCGGTATTTTCAGTCGCTTGGAGCCAGCGTTAGTACAGAGCCTTCGCCGGCGGGAGCGCCCGCGCATTCTCTTCCAACCTTCGCCGTTGGGAACGCCCGCGGTGGCGCGAATGAAGCGTCTCTTCCGAGCGCTTCCGCGCGACGCCGAAGCTGGGGCACCAGAGGTCTTTCGAGCCCCGCTTCGGTCCCCGTGTCTGAACTCGCGCGAGCCATCGAGAATCGCAGCGGAACGACCTCGCAGCGAAGTGTCCCCGATTTGCATGATCTCCAGTCTCACCATAGGGGCGCCAGCCGCAGCCCCTCGCAGAGGCGCTCGCGACAGTGTTCCCCGCGGCGCGACATGCCGCCACATGCAAGGCCCTGCGCCAACGAATTGGCGGTGCTCAGAGACCTGGCTGAAACTTACACGACCCAACAGCTGTCGGGTCTTGCTGCCGCAGTCGCCGATCATGCGACATAGACAGCAAATTTTAGTCAAGAGATCCAGCGTGCTCTTGCCCTGGTCGACGCTCGGATCGCCGAGGATCGATCGATCCTTCATCAGGTCCAATATCAAGTCGAGCGTGTGGAGTCGCGCCGAGGTGCCGACGCCATTGCCGTCCAGACGCTGCCCGACTACTTCCTCGCCGTGGAGGCGCAGCTCGTGAGCGTCAGGGATGCGGGCGCTGCTCCTGTCGGGGCCCTGCGCGACGAGATCCTGACATTACGGCCGGTTGCAGCCATTGGGGCCCGCGGGGCTGCGGATCAACAGCTCCGCGATGATCTCATTGCGCTTCGTGATCACGTTGATGCGACCACTGCCAACCTCCACTCCGAGAGTGCCACAACCACGTCCGAGTTGCACTGCAAGCTGTCGTCTTGATGCATCAGAGGGACGCGTGCCAGCGATTGAGAACCAAGTCTCAACGGTCGAGCAGCAGTTGCCTGACTTGCAGGCTGCGCTGGCTGAGTTGCATGCTGCGCGGGCCCGGGCTGCGCAGCTGGGCGCCCCGACTTCGGTCTGGGATTTCGCCCCCCTCGCTGCCGAGATGGCCGAGGTAAAGGAGGCGGCGCACCACTTGCAGTTGCGACTCGCCCAGGTCCCCCCGCGAAGGAGACGCTGACAAAAGGCGCGGGCGGAGGAAGTCGTCGCCCGTTTGGAGTTAGAGCGCGAAGCAAACAACCGACAATTCCAGGACCTATTAGAGCATCGGCTGGACTGGTACTCCCAGCGAGCTTGTGGCACGGATGGCGAGGTACGTGGTCTGCGACAGGGCGTCGGGCAGTTGCAGGGCGATCCCGCGACCGCCGAAGCTACCATGAAGGCGTGGCGCCACCAGGCTCAATGTTCTTCAACAGTGGTGGCAGTCCACAGGAGATAGGCTTTGCCAGGTCCTCGACCCCCAGATGCCAGAGTTCCATTTTTTGGGCGCCAGTGGCGCCTCGGGGTCGTTGCAGTACTCTTGCATCGGGGGCGTCCAAGCGGACGTCGAGAATGTCCTGGGCTCTTTGTTGCATCGCATGTTGCTGGAGCGTGGTTTATGGGCCCCCGCTGCCTCGGTTGCCTCTGCACGGTCCAATGGTGCCGCGCGGTTTTCTCCGAAGTTTCGAGAATCTCGCAAGGGCGAGCGCCTTGACTACGTGGTGTGCTCTCTAGTTGCAGCAATCAGCGGCCAGCATCGCCGAGCACAAGGCGGTCCCGATTACGTTCGGCTTCCCATGCAGTCGGCCACTCAGGCTGTGCGCGCGAACCCTCGTATTTCCTGCGACGAAGCTCCCTTCGACGATCCATAGGCGCGCCAAGTTTTTGACTTTGCTTCGTGACGCACCTATGCCCGATTTTGCTATGCATCCTGCTGATCATTGTCAGCTCGCGCCGGTCTTCCTTCGGCAAGCTATCGCTACCGCGTTTCCCCCGAGGGTTACCAGTAAAGGAAGGAAGCCTAGGCAGTCTTGGGTATCTCCCACGGCCCTCGACCACGTGGACGTGCGGTCCAGCATCCTTCGGCGTGTTCGGGGCGCCCCTCGTTTTTGGCGTGGGGCTTATCTTGTTGCGGTATTCTGGATTTGGGTTGTTCCTGTTGGGGGCATCTGGTATTGCGTTCAAGGATTGGAGATGCGCGTCTCGGGCTCTGGATTCGTGGTCTCAGACTTGAAGGGCGTGGTTGGCCGCTGCTACTTCAGATGCCACTACGGGGCTCTCTTGGGTCCGCAAGTTAAGCTCCACCCTGCAGGGCTTCCCAGGCTCGCGATGCCCAGGTCGTTCTGGGAAACCTTCTCTGGAACTTCCTGGGAGCGGGCTCTGTCGTTTCGAGCTCTTGGGGTTCATCGACAGTATCTCAGAAGGGGAGCTGCCAGGACATCGTTGCCCTGTTGGCCACCGGGGCTATGGTTCTCCAGGTTCTGAGATACAAGCGCCTTCGCCTCTCTACCAACATAGTGAACGTGCAGCTTCGACACGACGCAGGGGCTCATGGCCAGCAGGTCGCGAAAGAAATCGCTAGTGAGTGGCCCAGGCGCGCTTATCTGCAGGCTTCCGTCGTCTACGCGCGATAAGAGCTGGGTCCAAGAAAAAGATTATGCAACGCGTGCTTACTATTTTCTTCGGCTTCGACGGCAAGCCCATTGAGTCCGAGGCCCAGGCCGCAGATGTGTGGGCGCTTCACTCCGCAGGTATCGAAGCTGGCCTTGTCATCCCCTTCCAGGATTTCGAGCGGCTTGAATCCTATATCCAAACATTGCCCCAGGCCTTCTTGGACAGGGCCCCGTTCGATCCAGAAGACTTGTGCACGCTTGCTCAGGTTGCGTGTTGCCTCAAACGAGCACGCCCGTCGGCTTCAGGCCCCGATGGGTTCGCCGGCAACGTGGTTCGCAAGCTTGCCCTGGATATCGCTCCCATCCTGCACCTTCTCTTTCTCAAAGCTCAACTTAGAGTGGAAGAGCCTCTGCAATGGAACGGGGGTTACTATTGGCCCCTTTTCAAAAAGGGCTGTCCGTCATCGAGGATGAACTACAGATCGATTCTGGGGTCTTCGCAACTTGGCCAGCGGTTCCGCAATCTCGTTCTCTTCGACCTCGCCCCTCGTCTTCCTCCAGTCGCTGGTCCCCCGCAGTGCGGCGGTTTCGCCCGCGGAGGCGCGAACTTTGCCGCCGTGGAGCTTCGTCTTTTTCCCTACCGAGGCTCTGCCTAAAAGGGTTCTTACTGTGTAGCTTAAAGGGGCCTGGCAGTGGACAGCGCCCCGGGCGGTCCCCCCAGTCCCCTGGGAGCCAAGCGAAAGCAACAGCAAAGGTAAAAGCAAACGCGCGGTTCCCCCAGTTGCGCTCCCTGGGTGCCAAGCAACAGCAAAAGCAAAGGCCAAAGTTAAGGCACAAGCGAAGGCAAAGCAAACACATAGCATAGCATAGCATAGCATAGCATAGCGCAGCATAGCATAGCGCAGCATAGCATAGCATAGCATAGCCTAGCCTAGCCCAGCATAGCATAGCGCATCATAGCATAGCATAGCATTGTATATCAGAGCTCCTACTAATGTTGCTTTCCTAGAGGCTCCAACTCCTAGGTAGGGTCGCACTGGGATAATTCAGCAGCTGGGCGTAGCCGCTGGCCAGTCGGCCTTGTTTTTGCCCGCGGACGCAGTCCAGACAGTTTACAGAGCAGTCAGAGAGCTTACCATCGAGACAGGTGCGTCGGACGAGGCTGTCGCCTACGCCCCCCGCCAATCTGGGCTGCCCCCCGAGGTAGTGGACGAGCTGGCTCAATGCATCCAGCAGCGCGGCCCCTTCATGCAAGCTCCCGAGTTCCCCCCGATGTTCCGCGCCCAAGTCGCCGACTCGTGCCAGTCCAACTGGTTCATTGTGCCTGGAGGCTCCTGCGTGGCTTTTCCCCAATTGGGCTCCGGGCCAGGCCGGCAGTTAGGGGGCCTGATCTACAACATTGTGATGTCCATGGTCATTCGTGAAGCTCAGACCGCACAAGTGGAGCTCGGAGTGGACCTTCGAGTGCCATGGGCTAGCGGCTGGTCTATCAATGAGCACATCAGTGCAGCTGTGATCTCAGCATATACTACTCATACAATGGGCATGGCCTTCTTTGACGATGCTATGTTCATGTTTTTGGGCAAGCCAGATACCCTGCTCAGGCTAGTGCCGCTTGCTGCGCCCATCATGTTCGACGCCTTCGGCTCCAGGGGCATCCGGTTGCGCGCTGCCAAGGGTAAACCGACTGTCATGGTCCAGTTCAGGGGGCAGGGTTCAGACGTAGCCAAACGTGCGCTCTGACGCAGCTGGTCTGGGTCCATCCAATTTGTCTCGAGGCTGTATGGGCCCTCCTGTCTGTGCGCTGTCAGGCAGTGCACTCATCTCGGTGCCGTGCTAGATGAAGCCGGACCCCTGGGAGCAGAGTTCGCGCATCGGAGGCGTGCTGCGACAGCAGAGTGGCGTGGATTGAGAGGTATCGTCCGGGGCGAGCACCTCGAGCGTCGTATCGGATTCATCTTGGTCGACTCTCATGTATTCACGTCGGTTGTACAGTCGGGGCCCTGAAGAAGGAACCCTTTTCGTTGGGGAGGGGCTCCGCGTTCCTTAAGTGTTTCACAGCTTGTCTCAGGGTTTTCTTATGTTTTCGATCGTAAATCGAAGTCTAACTTATGGAGAAAAGGGGCCTCGTTCCTCATTTGGGGTTATTTAGGTCAGCGCCCCGACTGCATTCACGTCGGTTGTACCAGGCAGGCGCATGGCCATAACTCTCTTCAGCTCAAGCCGCGCAGCTCGGCGACGACCTAGTCCGAATGTTGCCTCGAGCAGCAGTCCGCAGCCCGAGAGTGGGCGCCGCTTCACTCGCGTCTGCCCAGATCCTGGCGATGGTGGAGCGCCCGCATGTGAGCGCTGGTCCCAAGGGTCCACGGGCTGCGGCTGCCTGGCAGAGTTCCGCATTCGCGGGCCCGATCGCCTGCTGGCACTCATCGGGCACTGTGCGCTTCGCGGCCAGGTCTCGTGGGCGCACCAGGTGTTGGACGACGTAGACTGGCTTCGTCGCCGCCGCCCCATCTTCAAGGACCTCCCTGAGGCCCGGGAGGATCTCCAGGCGTGGGGGCAGCCTGTTCTCGTGCTTGCCCCCCGGTGGAAGGCTGTTCTCAAAGGAGCTCTTCAGGCCCATGGGGCCCCATTCTACCAGGAACGCCTTGGCGCGCGTGGCCGAGATCGAAGCCTTCCAGGTGATGCAAGATTCTGGCGCCCCAAAGCCCGTCGCGGATCCCCAGCATCCCCTCCGAGCCCTTCCCCAGGAGGCCCTGCCCACCTATCAGCGTGGGTGGTGTAGTCCGCAGTTTGGAGAAATCGAGGCTCTCAAACAGCGTGTTGCTAGGGGGCGCTGGACCTTCGCGCGAAGTGTCAGGAGCCAGTTGGGTAATGCTTCCAAGTGCGTGCGCTGTCTTGCCGCGTTCGCTGTCCGTAAGCCTCTCGTTGAACATCTTGCTTTCTCGTCTCCAAAGTGCGCTCTCGTGCTGTTGACGTCACCGCCGACGTGCTCAGTGGATAAGCGACGGCAGTTGAATGAAGAAGCAGATGCCGCTGCAGAGCGGCAACTTTCAGCAGGTCTTGGTCGACGGCGTCCTGCTGCGCCGGCGCGGCAAGATCGGCCCCGGGCCCTTGCTCTGAGTAGGTCCGATCCCTTTGTTCGCGACGTAGTGACGCCACTAACCGATGCCGAAGCCCACAGGGGGTTCGGACTCGCTGGGACTTCGCTTTCCCAGAGGAGGAGGAGGCCACCAAGCTTCTGGCCCTTTCGGGAAGCGCTGGCCCTCCGCAGGGCCAGGAGGCCGAGGCGGGCGACAGGTTCTGGCCCTGTCGGCCACAGGACTCCCAGGGAGTGTCGGCCAGCACGTTTCCGCGCAAAATCTGTCGCCCTCACTCTTTTGGTGCTTGGTTTTTCTTGCGGTAGGCGGAGGTCTGGAGACATCCAGTGGCACCAATCGGCCTCCCACCCCTCGCCCCACTGGGAGCTCTTCTTCCCCTCCCTGGGACATTGCCGTAGATGCCGACAGGGGAGATCTCACGGCTGCCGCCATCATTCGATTCTGGATGGGCCAGATTCGCGACGGGCGGGTGTTGAACACGGGGAGGGGGGGCCGTGCGAAATTTGGAGCGCCGCCTGGCGGCGAGAAGGGCCCCCCCTTCGCACCCTCGACCATTTTCGGGGCGTCCTTGGCTGTGCGCCTCGTCGCCAGGAACAGCTTAGGGTGGGGGGTCAGCTCCTACAGGCTTTAGTCCTCATGCTCGCCGAGCACTTGCGCGCGGGGACTGGGGGCTGGACGGAGCACCCCATCCCCGCGACGCCACTTCATGGAGTCCCCTCTGGTCGCGCTGGTGTCGTCACCAGATGCCAGCTCGACAGACTTCGATCAGTGCGAGCATATGCCAAATACCATTGACTGGTCTACGGTAGGATGGGCTCCCACGCGCATGATCAGCATGCGCATGTCGAAGCTCGGTAGTCTTCTTGAGGACACGCCAAGCCATGGGTGCTGTTCACAAGGTAGAGACGCTCATTTGACGCTTCTTGGCCGTCGGAGAAATGGGTCTTGGCGGACCCAGTCCAAGACAACCTACCCGAACAGCTTGTGCCGTGCCATTGCCGAGGCCATCTTGGACAGTGGGCGACCCTGCCGATTTCGATTTCGATTTCGATTTCGAGAAAGACCAGCAAGAGCTTTCAGACAAACTCGTGCGGTTTTGCGTTCCCTGGACTCCCGCTTGCGATCATGATTTCGCCCTGGCCCCCGATTTTGCAGGTTCTCGCAGTTGGGCTAGGGATGTCCAAACTGTGGACTCTGCAATTCGCAGTTTTTTCTCAGAGTCTGAGGGGGAAGGAGTTTTCCTGGTTCCTTCCGAGGGCGTTGGCCCGTCGGACCCGGAGGTCTGTTTAGACCCAGCGAGTGGGACGGTTTCGTCCGAGCTCTGGGCGCTGGAGGTCGCCCCCCTCGTTCGGACGTCGTCGTCATCGTCGATTTTCGTCTCTCCGCCTCCCCCCCCTGCCTTGACCGAGGGGCAACGCTCCAGGATCGAGGCCAATAGGCGCGAGGCTCGCGCCAGGCGGGAGCGCCGCAGGCTTCAGGAACATGCAGCCCGCGCGCCCTGGGCCGCAGGTGCTGGGCTGCAGGGCTCCGTTTTCGAGGAGGCCCCCGTCGGGGGCTGGGGCCTCGACCTTTGTTCGGTTCGGAGGCTGGGCCGTGCGGTGGCGTAGGTGGTGGATCCCCGTGAGGTCCTGTATGCCACCCGCCTGGCCCTGCTAGCGGAAAAGAGCACGCCGAGCGCCACGCCCCTCGTCCCCCCCTCCCTCCTCCTTCCCCTCACCCTTCCCCTTCCGCTCCTCCTTCCGCCCCCCCCCGCTCCCTCCTCCCGCTCGCCCCGCCCCCCCCCCGCCTTCCCGCCCGCCCGGGAAGGCCCCCCCGAACATCCTCAAGTACGTCGTGCAGCAGTTCGCCAAGGCGTGCGCGCCTCCCTGGCGGCCGCGCGGCGCGCTGGGCGGGGAGCGGCCGGGGCCAGGGGCAACGTCAGGGGGGGAGCGACAGGCTCAGGGCTCGAGGTTCGAGGCCGTGGAGCTCTTCGGGCAGTTTCGTCGGTGTTCGGCGGTGTTCCCGCCGCGTGGTGCTCTCCAGCAGCTGCGCCTCGCCGAGAGCGTTCCCAGGGGTTCCTGGATCGTCCCGAGCGGCCGCCGGGGAGCCGAGTTATGGCCCGAAAATCAGGGGGCAACGCCAGGGGGGAATCTGCTCATGGGGGATGCATCGACCTTCAATCGCCCATCCATCGCCGATAGGGGCGTGCGGTTTCCCTATCGAGGGCTTAGCGCTGGTCTGTCGGCGATTTATTGCCGATTCCAGCACGATGTTTTCCCCCCTGAGACGGTTCCCCCCTGGCATTCCCCTTCACGGGATGGCCAGACGGGGCGACTTGCTTACAAGTCTTGTTGCCTCGCGTTAAGAACAACATCGCGACGGAAGTTGTTCGGCAACTTTCGGTTTCGGCCTCTGGCGGGCCCTTACGGGGCTTGGACTGTCAAAAACGACTCAGGTTGTAAAGTCGGTCCTGGGGAAGTGGTCCAGACCTTCGAGGAGCCAGGTTGTTGAGAAATTCAAGACGTCTGCTTTTTTCGGGGAAGGGGCGTCTTGTTTACACGTCTTGTCGCGCGCCTGCTCGTGTGTCTGACGTCTGCCGTCTGAAGAGGTACGGCGGGAGTAGTCGTCGATCTGGCCTCCATTGCGCAGGGCGCCGAAGGGTATCACAATGCGGCATGGACGTCCTGGCAGGCGCTGGAAGATCACCTCAGTTCTTTTGTCCGGAAAGTTGTGCCAGGGACATCAACTCGCAGTATCACTACAGTCAAAGCTCATCGTAAGGACGCACGGATGTCTTTAGGGTATCCTTGTGTCCTTGCCTCTGCGGCCCGTCCTTCGCGGCTTTCATTTGCCAGCCCTTACGGGTGCTGACAGTCCGACGCTCAAAAAGTGCCAATTTCGGCGTCCAAGGCCCTTGCGTCCTTGTCGCACGTCCTTGCTATAGATTTCGATTACATGAGTTTTGCTTTCTCCCAGATGTGGCGATGCACTGTGAGCCTCTATGCCTTCTGTGCAGTCGTTGCGGGTCTACGCCTAATAAATAGCCGTCCGTGTGTTTATGAAAGGGACGTTTGGTATTTACGGAGCCACCGCAAGAAAGTGTACGGTCGCTTTCGTACTGAAGTGTTGGGTTTGCGCCAGGGCATCAAGTAGTGGCCAGACTTTACCCTTGAGCGCCACGTTTGCCGCGGTTCATTCGCATCGCATAGTTTGCCCTCCGCCTAATCCTCCCCCTCGCCAGCTGCTTCCCCCTCGTCCTTCTGCCTCCTCCCTCCTCCTCCTCCTGCCTCGCCCGCCCCTCCTCCCACCTCCCCCTCCACCCCCCCCTGTGGTGTCCAGGTCCTCCCCAACGACCTCAACGCCCGCCGCACGTTCGTGCAGTCCGGCGGGCTGCAGAAGATCCAGGAGGTGAAGGCCGAGGCTGGCGGCGCGACCGAGAGCCTCGAGCCCGGGCGCGGTCGGAGGGAGGGAGGGGGTGTGGGGGAGGGGAGGGCGGGGGTGAGGGACGAGCGCACTCAGGATGCTGAAGTGTGGACCACCTTGAGCTCGGGAGGGGCTCTGGTTTTCGGGCCTTTCCTCGGGTCTATGTCGGGTGACCTCTTCGGGGCCGAGGCTCGCCGTGGCCACAAAAGCTCCTTCTTTCCTCATGGTAGCACGATGACAGTTGAGATGACGGTGATGACGTTGATGATGCTGATGATGCTGATGATGATGGTGGTGATGCTGGTGGTGGTTGTAATAATGATCATGACGGTGGTGGTGCTGATGATGTTGGTGCTGCTGATAATGATGGAGATGAGGAGAAGGAGGAGCACGAGGAGGAGGAGGAGGAGAAGGAGAACGAGGAGCAGGAGGAGGAGGATGAAGAGGAGGAGGAGGAGGAGGAGGAGGAGGAGGAGGAGGACGTGTCAGGAGGAGGAGGCGAAGGAGGAGGAGGAGGCCGCAGCCATTTTGGCTGAAGCCATTTTGGCTCAAGCTTTTCAGCCCTCTGCACAGGTGCCCCCCGTGGCAGCAGAGCGGCTTGAGCTTGGCTCTGTCCTCACTGGATTTCTTGCTGTCCGTTTTCTTTCTACATCCGAGTCCGGGCGCGGTACGGAAGGGGGAGCTGTTGCTTACAGGTTTTTTCGAGCCCTCGTGCGGGCGGGATCGAGCCGCCATGTCGTGGCAGCGACTGCAGCCGCTCTCTGGCGTCCCATCCTGAGCTGCGAGGCGGCTGGCACATCAACGCTTGACACTGGCGACTTTGAAATCAAGACGGGGATCGGCGCTCGGTTCGACAAGGCCCGTCTTGCTCTTGAAGGTCTCGACCGAGCTGGGAGGCAAGGGGTGCGAGCAGACCTTGACGGATCCACCAAGGCGTTTCGCAAGTAGGCTTAGCACAGTATTGATCGTTCTTTTGGTATTCCCCAGGGGTAACGCGCGTTACCCCCCCAGACTCCCCCCTCCCCCCGTAACGGTAACGCTTGCAAGCCGTGCGCAACTTGAATCTTTGCAGCTTCCAAAGGACATTTGTAAGGCGTGCACATGCGCTCTGGCGCACGCAGGCATCGACGTGCACGCAGGGCGCGTGCACTGCGGTGTACATGGGCGCTGTGGTGCACGTAGGCACTGTGGCGTACGCGTACGCTGCGGTGCGCATGGCTACTAGTAGTGTGCACAGGCGTTGCGGTGTTCACAGTCGTCGTGGTGCACGGAGGCACTGTGGTGTACACCGATTTGCTGTGGTGCACGCGGTTACTGCGGTGTACACAGGCGTCGTGGTGTACACAAGCGTTGCGGTGCAGCGGAATGATGTCAGAGCAGGAGGGGCAGGACGATGAGGAGGAGGAGGCGGAAGCGGAGGCGGAGGTGGGAAGGGGGAGGGAGCCAGATAGTTCGCTGGCGCAGGGAGGGCGTGGCGGCGACCCCAGCGCAGGCTTTCAAGGTTGCTATCGCTACCAACCATTGCGTGCATTCGATAAGCTTGGCGTGTAGCTTTAAAACCTGGTTCTCCCGACTCCCCGTCTCCGTGGCTGCGGCGGTGTTGGCGGTCTCTCTTTTGGCCCCCTTTGGACTTAGCTGGGCGCGCAATTCCAGAATCCAGTGGTTCCATCGCCCCGTCTCCTCATCCGCCGCGTCGCTGTCCAGTTTGGGGCGCAGCATCGATGCTTTGGCAGCTGCGTCTCCATGGCCAACATGGTGTTGGTCGCTTTTTAGGCCGCCAGCTCGGCAGAGAGCTTTGTGAACTTCGCTTGCCAGGTGACGGGGTCTGTATCCACGTGGCCGTCCGTTGGCACAGTGTCTGCCCATCGGTTGTTTCCCTCCGAAGGTCTCCCAGCTGAAGGTGCCGCCCGTGTCGACGCCCAAAGGTCGGTCTGCGCGGGGTGCGCCCTCTTCAGGCCGCGATAGGGCAGCATCTCCACACCGTCTCGGAACTCCTCGCCGATGTCCTCCATGCCCAGCTCCCTTGTAGGTGTCCTCCGTTCATCCAGCGCGTTCCACTACTCGCAAACGTCAGAAAACAGTTACTCCGACGGTAGGACCCCGCATGATAATCAGTTTGGCTTGCCCTTAGCCTTTTCCCCCTCGCCCTCGCGGACACCCTCCTCTCGCCCTCTGCTCTGCCCTCTCTTCCACCTTCTGCTATTTCTCCCCCTCCCCCTCCTCCTCTTCCTCCTCCTCCTTCTCCACATCCTCCTCATCATCGCCCTTCCTCTATCCCTTTCCCCCCCCTTCATCCTCTTCCTGCTTCTTCTCCATGTGCACCTCCCTTTCCCACTGGTCGGAGCAAGCGCATCGATTTTCCTCGGCGCCGTCGCCGCCTCGGCCAGCGCGCGCGTTCGCCGACGGCTGGATCATAAAGCCTTGGGGACAACCCCGCGGGTCATCCCTTTGGAGCAACCCGGCGGGCCGCTGGGGCGCGGGGGCAGGCCGTCGGGGCAACCCCGCGGGCCGGTCCGTTGGGACAACCCCGCGGGCCTTGAGGTAGGCGCGGCCGCGCTCAGGCGGGGGGCAGCACGAAACCCAGCCGTGCAGCAAACTTCCCCTCGAAACTTGCAGGGGTCCGATGACCCGCTCGGGTTACCAACGTCGAATGCGGACGCCATAAGGAGGGGGCTCCCGCTTGAGATTTCCTCGCAATTCATTCACACGCGAGTGCAGAATCACGATGACCCGCCTCGGATTCGAACACGAAGTGCGGGCCCATACGGAGGGGGTTCCCGCATGGGATTTCTTCGCAATGCGGTCACAGGCGAGGCTCCCGCCTGAGACTTCCCCAGAACCGAACTCAGGCCAGAGGAACCCAAAAGTGAAGACAATTGCACGGTTCCGATGATCCGCTCGGATTACCAACGTGAGATGTGGGCCCCATAGGGAGGGGGCTCCCGCCTGAGACTTCCATGCAGTTCACTCACAAACGATTCTCCCGCCTGAGATTTCTTTCAGATTCAGCCTTGAGGAACCCAAAAGTGACGGCAGTTGCAAGATTCCGATGACCCGCTCGGATTGCCAATCTGATACGCGGGCCCCACAGGGATGGGGCTCCCGCTTGAGATGTCTTCGCAAGTCACTCACAGGCGAAGCTCCCGCATGAGATTTTCTTTGAATTCAGGCCAGATGAGCCCAAATTGGCGGCAGTTGCAAGATTCCGATGACCCGCTCGGATTGCCAATCTGATACGCGGGCCCCACAGGGATGGGGCTCCCGCTTGAGATTTCTTCGCAATTCACTCACAGGCGAGGCTCCCGCATGATATTTCCTTTGAGTTCAGGCCAGAGGAGCCCAAAGTGACGGCAGTTGCAGGTTGGCGATGACCAGCTTGGATTACCAATGGAAGTTGCGGGCCGCAAAGGGAGGGGGCTCCCGCCTGAGACTTCCTCGCAATTTATTCACAGACGAGGTTCGGGCTTGAGAGTTCCTCTGGATTCAGGCCTGAGGAGCCCAAGCGTGACGGCATCTGCAAGTTTCCGATGACCAGCTCGGATTGCCAACATGGTGCGCCGGCCCCACAGGGAGGAAACTCCCGCTTGAGATTCCGTGTCAATTCACTCAGAGGCGAGGCTCCCGCTTGAGACTTCCTTCAAATTGAGGCCTGAAGAATCCAAAAGTGAGGACAGTTGCAGGTTTCCGGTGGCCCGCTTGGATAGCCAACGTGACGTGTGGGCTCCTTAAGGATGGGGGCTCCCGCCTGAGTTCCATGAAATTCACTTACCGGCGAGGCTCCCGCCTGAGATGTCCTTGAAATTCAGGACTGAGGAACCCAAAAATGACGACAGTTGCAAGGTATCGATGGCCCGCTCGGATTACCAACGTAAAGTGCGAGCCCGTGGGGAGGGTTCCTCACAATTCATTCACAGGCGAGGCTTGCGCCTGAGACTTCCTCCGAATTCAGGTCTGAGGAGCCCAGAAGTGAAGACAGTTGCAGGGTTCCGATGACCCGCTCGGATTACCAACGTGAGATGCGGGCCCCATAGGGAGGGGGCTCCCGCTTGAGATTTCCTCGCAATTCATTCACAGGCGAAACTCCCGCCTGACACTTCCTCCAAATTCAGGCCTGAGGAGCCCCAAAGTGACGGCAGTTGCAAGGTTCCGATGACCCGCTCGGATTACCAATATGAGACGTGGGCCCCATAGGGAGGGGGCTCCCGCTTGGTATTTCCTCGCAATTCACTCACAGGCGAAGCTCCCGCCTGACACTTCCTCCAAATTCAGGTCTGAGGAGCCCCAAAGTGACGGCAGTTGCACGTTTCTGGCCCCAAAGGGAGGGGGTTCCCGCCTGAGACTTCCTTGGAATTCACTTACTGGCGAGGCTCCCGCTGGAGATTTCCTCCAAATTCAGGCCTGAGGAACCCAAAAGTGACGACACAGTTTTCCGATGATCCGCTCGGATTGCCAACAAAAATTACGGGCCCCATAGGGGGGGGGCTCCCGCCTGAGGTTTCCTAGCAATTCGCTCACAGACGAGGCTTTCGCTTGGGTGGGTAGGCAGGTGAGTGAGTGAGTGGGCGAGTGAGTGAGTCATGAGGATGAGTGTGTAAATGAGTAAGTATGCGAGTGATGACGACGATGGTGATGATAGTGTGCGTGAGTGGGTTAGTGGGTGAGTGTGAATGATGATGGTGTGTGTGTGAGTGATTGAGTGAGTGTACGAAGGGAGAGGAAAGAGAGAGATAGAGAGAGAGAGAGAGAGAGAGAGAGAAAGAGATCCTGCGCGGAGGGTGTGCAGAGAAAGCTAGAACCCCACTTTGGATGTGGGACAAAACCAATGCCTGCCTCGATGTAATGGATCGTGGGTCCCCCGCGAGGGATCCGGGCCATTCGCGACTAGTTACTCTGCGAGTAGTGGAGCGCGTGTGTCTATCCGTGGTAGACTCAGGGCTGCCGTCGAGCGAGGCGCCACCATGTGAGCTCAGGGCCGCTGGCACCTCGTCCAGCAGCCCGTGGTCGGGGCCGCCTCGGCCCCCCCCCCCCCGCGCCGCCGCCCCACCTCCGCGCCAGCGCGGGCTGGCCCTGGCCAGGTCGCGGCGCACCTGTCCCGAGGTGGCCTTGGCCGCTCCAGCCCAAGGCCTCTGCCCTCTGCGCCCCCGGGGCCAGAGAAGAGGCACCGCCAGCGCTGGCGACCAGCCGCACAAGCCGCGCCGCCCCGGCCGTGCAGCGCACCATGCAGCGCCCATGGCGCACCACGAGGCCACGAGCGCCCGACGGCCGGCCCGTGGCGAGCTTGGCTGAGTGAGGTGCAGGTCCGGGTGCCACGGCAAGTGTACGAGTGTGCAACAGAGACTCGATCCCAGATGGCTGCATACCATGAGGAGGCCGATCATGACGACGGAGGGGCGAGCGAGGAGGGATGAGGATGAGAACGCTCGAGGACATGAGGGCGATGATGCTGATGATGCTGCTGCTGCTGATGATGATGATGATGATCCTGATGATTACGCTGATTATGATTATGATGATGATGCGGCTGATGATTGCGATGACGGAGTTGACGATGAATATGATGAAGCTGCCGATGATGTTACTGTTTATGATGATTTTGACGTTAAGATGGAGTACCATCATAGTCAGAATGCAGGATTGCGACGGGTGGGTTGGTTGGGGTGGGTGGGGATTCTGGGGGCACGAAGGTGCCCAGGAGGAGAATGAAGAGGATGAGGAGGATTAGGATGTGAGGGAGGAGGGAGAGACGGGGGTGGGAGAGGAGCGAGGGAACGACAACCGGCACGAATTTCGGATAATTGCGAGGATGGAGATGGACATGGAGATTGATGATGACGATGATGATGATGATGATGATGATGATGATGATGATGATGATGGTGGTGGTGGTGGTGGTGGAAAGGAGGGGGGGGGTGATCATGCCGCCGCTGATGGTGAGGATGCGGGTGATG